TTTCTATTAATCTTTGCGCAACCTCAACAAGATCTACATCTCTCATATAGGCTGAACGATTGTAATACGGCTTTAAAGCCGAATTGTCCCTCCTTATGGAGCAAAAGTAGCTAGCTAATAGACCTTCGTTCAGCGCTAATCGTATCCAAGCTCGACAATAGCCGACTTCTGTAGTAACTTGGCTTAACGCTTGTATCTGGTCTATGATCTGACGATGGGAAAACACGAGCAGCGGGCCCCAGAAGCTCGGCTGTGGCATAGCGTCGAAATCGGGACCGCTGAGGGCCTCTGTCACCCGATTCAACAGAGTATCCTTCAAGCCGTGCAGGAAGACAGCCTCGAGCACGGAGCATAGGGTCATGGTCTCGTCGCAGTTGCTGACAACTCCGTCCTCGGAAACGGTTGGCGCGCTCTGCATCTCCATGACGCTCGTGTTGAGCTGTTTTTGGAGGGAATCCCTGACCAGCAAGTTCCTCTTGTTGCCCGCTATAGAGTTGACAGTCCTCAGCAGTGAGTTCATCTTGCACGCTATCGATACAATACGTCACAGCGAAAATACGTCTTCTACGACGATGACGTCGCTGGAGCATCTTCGCGTCGTGAGAGAGGCGGAGGATCACCCGGAGTCGAACTAAGCCTCCGGAGATGTCCTCGTGATGTCACGCCAATGCGTCGCCGTCCTCGGATATATTGCTCCAATTACGCTCGAGGCATGCGGACGTCGCGGTGATACTGACAAGGAAACAAGGAAGTGCCGTCGTGGAGCGATGAAGTCATCTTATGCGTCAGTGATAGCGCTAGACGAGAGTCCACACATGTTAGCGTTATCATTCAACCGCGTGCGTGAAGTAGGTTAGATCTCGGAGAAACAAAACATTTGTGACCATAGCCCATAGGCTCTATATATCCTATTAATCGCAACGCACATCCGGATTAAAAAAAATGCTGATTAATTAATCTCGCGTATTTTTTACACGTTCTCGATGCGCAATAGTAGATTCTTGCAACATCATCGAGAGAGATCGCCAACCATCGCCAGCTACTACCTTGAAACGCTCATCGCGCTATCGGCCAGCTGTTCACTACTGTCACCGCCAACTACGCATCAGGCGATCATCTCCTCATTTCTAGGACACCGTCTATTCCTTGAGAATAGTACGTGACCCGACGACAGGTCGCGCTGTCACCTCCGGTAGCCTTCGCTACCGTCGTTGCACTTGCGATGGCGCGAATGCATGCCCATGCAGGTGCGCCATCGCACTTGCTATTTCCGGCGCGAAACGCCGTCTCCCTTTCCCGCTTCAACCCGGACGGCGAATGGACTATTCGCCCTTTCGATAGAGATCATGGAGCTTTATCGACGACGACGATGGCGATGACGATGATAGGTAACTAATTATAAATCTGGTAAGGTCGATCTTGTATTATTTCGCGACGCACATTTCTTATACCCAGGGTTGGGTAGTAACTAAAATTAAGTTCAAAGAGTTGAAAAGTTAATAATTTTTAACTTAGTTAATTTTAATAAACTTGTTAACTATTAACTTAAACTATATTTAATTTGTCGTACAAGTTTATCGAGTGTATCGATTCGTTATTGGATAGAAAATTAACTTTCGAACTTTATGATGAGTTAATAATTTTTTATAAACTTAATAACTTTAACTGAGTTAATTTTTGTTTAAGTAACTTTGAAAGTTAATTTTTGGGCCATTAACTTTAAACTTAATTTAGTTAAAAAGAAAATTAATCTACCCAACCCTGCTTATATCTCTTTTGTTTGTTTTCGAAGTTTATTGATAAAGAATTTTCGAAAAATAATGCGAGATAGAAAGAGATAACGATAGATGAAATTTTATCTCGTCAAGTAGAGAGTTTCGACTTTCTTAGACACCTGGATATTTGTAAAATCCCAAAATACGCTAGAGAACGAGTGAAAAGGTATCTGTACGTAAATGGATTATTCTCGCCGAGATGGCCATATAAGAAAATAGAATTTTATATAGTTTTAGAAACTTTGTAGAATACGCTTTCTCCTCGTACTTCATATTATAAAAATTGACCGTTACGCGACGTCGACGTTTTTAAATACGACAGTATAATTGCCGTCTTCTTCCAATTGAACGAACTTTAATAATTGTAACGATCAAGCAGACGGTGCAAGTAATGCGATCTAACATGCTATGGCAGCAATATACTTGTATCGTACCATATATTAGTTTCTTCAACATTTTTATAGCTTAAGCGTCGTTTATGCAGAGAGTCTTATATATAGTTAAGGGAGGAGGGATGGCGGGGAGGTTACTATCGTATTCTCCTTTTATAAAGAAACAAGCATCTTTTAATCATTTTTGGTAAAACTTCCAAAAATACATTATTCTCGTGATCTCATTTTTTAATATACCATTTTAGTGAATTTGCAAAATTGACGGTTACACGACGTCGACGTTTTTAAAGACGACAGTATAATTGCTGGCTTCTTCTAATTGAACGAACTTTAATAATCGTGTAACGGTCGAACAGGCGATGCAAGTAATCCCAGACAGCACAGAAAAGCCAAAATACATCTTAAAGATGTCTAAAAGACAATAAGACGTTTTTAAGTTGTCTTATATATCAGTTTCTTCAACATTTTTATAATCTAAGTTATGCAGAGTGGTCCTATATATTAGATAAGATACAGACTGATACTATCATATTCCTTATAAAAAGAAATTAAATCTTTTTTTTAATTATTTTTGGCAGAACTTCAAAAAATGCATTATTTTCGTGATCTCATTTTTTAATATGCCATTTTAGTGAATTTGCTGTTTTTTTTTTATTATTCTTGGTGTAAAACTTCTAGTCATTCTGTTGTAATTAATTCTAATATAATTATATTTTTTATAATACAATGCATACACTTAAAGCAATTTTATTTGAATTGATATAATACAAAATCTCTCATGGTAGCAAAGTGTGCTTTCTGATTCTGATAAATAATGAATAAAGTAGATATTAATGTCTACATGGAATATCTGCACTATACTTATATAAAATACCCCGTATATACAAACGATTTTTTTCGAAAGCAATATTACAAGTCATAATTCAAGAGTAAAGAGAAACCTACAGTCTTTATACAGGATATAAATACAAATCGATTCTATAAATCGATTAAAAAAAAAAAAAAAAAAATTATTTCTTTGAAAATAACCGAGTCGCGCTCGTCCTCTTCTATTCCCGCTCCTATATTTAGATACGCACTTAATGCATCTGAAATGTTGGAACAGGTATACCTTGTGTGTGAATGACCGAATACGCATGACGGAACGATGCGTGCTATCCCGGGTTTGACGGCATTGAAGCGCCGGGAAGAGGAGAAGGAAGGAGAAAGTGCAACCGGGAGCGAACGGGCGTGAAGGAGACGGCAGGTTGGAAGGCACGAGGACGACGAAGCGGGTACAGTGGAAGCAGGCACGTACGAACATGCCCGAGTTCATCACGTTTTAATTAATCAGTCTCTCCTCCTCTCGTGCCGAATACAATAACGGCAGGGCGAAGAAGATGGGGCGAAAACTTCGGCTTTTTGCATTGATAATAATTAAAAAAGGAGAGCATACATATATTTCATGATTCACGTGTGCAATGCGTTTTATCATTTTATTTTGTTGACAAGCAAGACGCAACACGTGTTCGAGTCGACGTGCTTCTTATGTAAGATTTATCACTGAAACATTGTAAATATTTATCTCTATCACCGTAATTTATAATCACGCGTAATCTATTATTTACAATTTTTCCATGTGTAAAAGACGTGAAAGTATTATAAACACTTTGTCCATTTTTAATTTCAAATTTATACATTTCTTTATTGAGTTATAACAATTTGTCATCTAGTGCCACAAGAACTTGTCATTATACTTAGTATTATCTCTCTATCGAAAAAAAAAGTACTTAGGTAATTATATTTATGAAGATACCTCGAACCTTTTCTCTAACGAATGACAAATGTACTGTTGCATTATCTCGGTCCATTGTACGTTGATGTCTTTCGACAAAGGGCTCTTTAACTATCCGACAGGTAGACTGTTTATTTTACGTTTAGACGAGCGACTTTTATCCTCGTCGAAGAAGGCGAGTCAAATGCATGTTTTCTTTGTGCATAGAAACAATGCGTTTTCTCACGGTACACCGTAGTGCAGAATTCTCTTAGACGCGTTTATTTACCACACTTTGGGGGAGCACAAATGGCATGAGCACATGTATTCCATTCTCTTTCGTATAGTCAGATGCAACGTTTGCATATTTTAATAAGCCGCGACAGACACTCGCTCTTCGTGTTTTTTACCGTATTTGTCCTTGATACATATCACGTATATTTTACGAAGATCGTAACGAAAAAGACGACCTCACTCGCATCACTGCTATTTTCTTATCCATTTTCTTACATTTTCCGTAATTACCGTTTTATTCGTCTTTTTGTATACGTATTTGTCTTTTGTATTTATATTATATTACTATTGGACCATTTATTGGAGGTAATATTTATTTACAGAATCTGTACAAAAAAAGAAAAGAAATACCGGCGAAGGAACTTCTTGATATCTGCGATATCTGAAAATTATCGACGCATAAATATCTTTAGATTTATCGTGAAGAAAGCAATCGACGATATCTTCAATCCACGAGCTTCTCCTCGATACAATCATACGTCCCTGGCATTGCGCACGGTGGGGGCAAAAGAAACGGAGACAGAGGGTGTCGGTCGTTGGGTCGACGCAGCGGCGAACAGTGGCGAGCGGACTCGTACACCAGCCACGGGTCGAGCGAGCTCTCGCGAGCGTCG